GATGCAGTGAGCGAAGCTCGTCAGAATACAAAGGCAAGTGACGACGATGAATATCATAATCAAGCAAGTTTTTCCACGAGAGAAAACTCCATCACATGTATGAGCGTGCTCAGACCCACGAACGTGTGCGGCCGAGGAACGGCCTTGAGCGCTAGCCTAAACCTGAACAGCTCTGAAACGAGAGAGAACTGAGATTATAAGCAGCAGTGAGGGAAGTGTCCGGGAAGACCTTGTTCCGGACACTTCGTATAACAAGAGACCAGGAGAGGACAATTGGGAGCAAACGCGGGCAGCTGGCAGTCGGTGCTGGCGACAGTGCTGGTGTTGGCGCTGGCAACGCAGGTGTAGGCGCTGACTGGCCTCGGGAACGGAACAGAGACTAGAATAAGCACTGGGAAAACACACACGCACACACACACACACGCACACACACACACACGCACGCACGCACGCACGCACGCACGCACGCACGCACAAACAAAAAAAAATGGGCCAGATACTCCCCTGAGAGGAAATAGTGAGAGAGAGAGAGAGGACTTCAGCAAGCGTCCCGTCTCCGTCGCGGCATTGCGGCAGTGGCCCAACCGAACGTCAAGGCGGGGTGACCACAGTGACCACATATTGAAACCAGACCTGCGCACGGCAGGGACGTCAACATGCGGCACGCGGGGGGGCCTTCCTCTCGCCGATCCCCCCCCCTAGAAAAAAAGCGCGGCGGGACAACTTCCAGGACCCGCTCTTCCCGTGCTGGATAATGCCAAAACTGATGGCAAGGATGCGCGATGAGGATGCAGGCCCCTCGGACGCTCGCGTTGAAGCTTCTTCGAGCGCGGCGGGCCCTCGAGAGTAGCCAAGGATGCCCCTGGTTTTCGGATCATAACTCGGCTATCCGGCGGCCGTTCGGAACGATCTGGGCACCCCTGGAACGCGCTCGGCGAGGCGCAGCCAGTGGAAGGCATCCCGAGGCTGGAAAACCAGTGAGAACCGACGAAACACCCGAACACCTCGAACCTCGAACCCCATATCTCCGCACTTCTTCCCCCCTGAGCCTATCCCCCCCGACGTTGCCACTGATTTGGCGGCGCCCACAGGGGCCTCCTTCGAACAGCCCAGCGGCCTCTAAGAAGGCTTCTTGGAAGCCTCTGGGCCCTTCTAAGCAGGCTCCTGCGATCTAAGAGCCCCCTCCCCCTGCCTTCTCTGAAGCCCCCCTCGCGCCACCCCCTTGTGATCGTCGCTGAGGGCATCGACTCTCTGCCGAACCGAGAGCGGAATTTCCCAAGTGAGTGAGGTGGCACTGCAACCTCACGCTGCAGCTTACGCGGGCCGCCAGCGCTGTACGCTACATTGGAGACGAGGGGGCTCACTCGCACGCGACGTCACGTAGGAAGTTTACGCGCCAATGTCGACGCAGTCCTCTCTGGGCGGCGGGCAAAACGGGGTTAGGGGAAGGGGGGAAGGCTTCTTAGAAGGAGGCTGCTTCTCAGGAGGCAGCAGCCCTACATATATAGATAAGGTGTGTACCTTCTAAGACGCAGGGGTGCTTCCAAGACGTCTTCCCTCCTCCCCCATACCCCCTCTGCGAGTGACCGAGAGGAGGAGGAGGAGGAGGAGGAGGAGGAGGAGGAGGAGGAGGAGGAGGAGGAGGAGGAGGAGGAGGAGCAGGAGGAGGAGGAGGAGGAGCAGGAGGAGGAGGAGGGAGGCGGAGGAAGAATGACAAGGAGTCGAGCCCCCCCTGCTGCGCGAGGCTGTTCTCTTGTGTCGCTCAAGAGGACTCCGCGCTCGTGCCCGCGGCGCTCGCGAAGGCGGGCGCTGCGCCGCCAGCGCCAGGTGGAGCGCGGCAAGCTGGGGCACCACATCGTCGCTCTCACGGCTGCGTCTCCTCCCACTCGGCATCCGTGACCTCGGCCCCGGCAGGCTTCGGAGGAGAGAGGGGGGAGGAGGAGGGAGAGGAGGAGGGTGGCAGCATTCCTGGAGAATCCTCATGCAGTCATCGAGTCGAGTCGAGGAGGAGGGGGAGGAGTTATACCACGTGGGTGGACAGTGTCCTGGGCCTGGGATGGGTCTATGCGGCCCGCACCCGCGTGTGGCCGCTTGGCGGCTGGGGGACCCTGTTGAAATCCTCCCCTGCTTGGGAGTGCCCTGGTCACACTGCCCCCTCTCGAACAACCGAATCTTGCCGACCCCCGCCCTGCTGGGCGGGCCGCACTCCTCCGCACTGGGACGAGGAGGAGGGGGAGGATGACGAAACAAGGAGGAGGATGAGGAGGAGGAGGAGGATGAGGGAAAGGAGGAGGGGGAGGGGGAGGAGGGGAGGGAGGGGGAGGAGGGGGAGGAGGGAGGAGGAGGGGAGGAGGAGGAGGAGGAGGAGGAGGAGGGGGGGGAGGAGGAGGACGAAGGAGGAGGGGGGGAGGAGGAGGGGGAGGAGGCGGAGGCGGGGGAGGTGCAGGAAACGACGAGGAGGAGGAGGAGGAGGAGGAGGAGGAGGAGGAGGAGGAGGAGGAGACGGAGGCGGAGGCGCAGGCATACCACCCTCCCTGTTGCCGGCGTTGCGCCCGCGGCCCTCGAAGGTTGGAGGCATTTTCGGACTCGCGTTGGGCTTTGAGCTCCTGAGCGGCTCGTGGGCGGGCATCTGATCCTCGATCCTCCCTCGATCCTCAATCCTCGATCGATGCTCGACCCTCGGGACTCGATCCTCGGGGGGGCCCACCCCCTCACAGCTCGGCCCCCTGCTCCCCCATGCGTGCGCACCCTCTCCCTGCTCGGCGGCGCACATAAATTGGGTTGCAGGAGGGGGGGCGGCCTTCTGAGACGGCGGGGGGAACTTCGCTTCTCAGAAGGCAGGAGGCTTCTTAGAGGCGCTCCTGGCTTCGTAGAAGCCCCAAGGCCTCCTAAGCAAGCCCCTGGCTTCTAAGAAGCCCCTAGGCTTCTCAACACCGTCCCTTGCTGCTTCCATGGGCTGAGGGCACACTTGCTCCCCGAATGCCCTCTGGCTGTTTCCAGATGCCACACCCCGACCTTCTTGAGGTTGTTCTCCGGCTCTTTGGGCTCTAAGTCCTTCGGATACTCGCAAGGGTGACCCTAGGCAAGAGTGATTTTGGTGCGCGGCTTCGAGGGGCCGCGGGTCGGCCAAGTCCAAGCGCGCAGGTCTGTGCTGGGGGGACCACTGCGGGCCCGCACCAAAGGTCAGCGAAGGGTCACTACTACGCGTGGCCGAGTCCATGCGTAAACATGAAACTTTCGGAGGTCCGAGCGGATTCCTCGGATCGGCGCTGGACCTCCCTCCCTGGCGCGCGGAGCGCGCCATGGGGCGGTGCAGGGGGCGCCAGGGGGCCCAGCGACGATCCAAGAAATCCGCGTGGACCTTCGACAGTCTATGCTTGTGCCTTTTCTCTTCTTCGATTCCTGCTTGGACACCATGCCGGCCGCGGCCGCCTCCTCCGCCGCCTGTGTCGCCTCGGCGGCGGCCTTGGCCTCCGCCTCGGCCTCCGCCGCGGCGGCGGCATCTGCCGCGGCCTTCGCCTTCGCCTCCGCCGCCGCGGCGGCCTTGGCCTCCGCCTCCGCCTTGGCCTTGGCCTCGGCCTCGGCCTTGGCCTTGGCCTCGGCCTCGGCCTCGGCCTTGGCCTCGGCCTCGGCCTCGGCCTTGGCCTTGGCCTCCGCCTCTGCGGCGGCCTTGGCCTCCGCCTCGGCCTGGGCCTGGGCGTCCGCCTTGGCCTTCGCCTCCGCCTCCGCCTTGGCCTTGGCCTCGGCCTCGGCCTTGGCCTTGGCCTCCGCCTCTGCGGCGGCCTCGGCCTTGGCGTCCGCCTCTGCGGCGGCCTTCGCCTCCGCGGCGGCCTTGGCCTCTGCCTCTGCGGCGGCCTTGGCCTCGGCCTCGGCCTCCGCAGCCTCCCTTGCCTTCTCGTGCTCTGCCGCCTCTGCGGCCGCGGCCTTCTCGGCCTCCGCGAGCTCCCTCGCGCGGGCGTCGGCCGCCTCCTGCGCCGCCTTGTCGTCGCCCGCCTCCTCCCTCCAGGCCTCTGCCTCTCTCGCCAGGGCCTCGGCCTTCATCCTGGCCTTCTCCGCGGCCTCCTCCTGGGAGGCAGCACGAGCAGCAGCGGTTTGCACTCGAGGGCGAGGGCGCCCCCAGCTTGACTGGGCGCCTCGATGGAGCGCGAGTGCAGGCGAAGGCGGTTGCGCACAGCGTCGGCTTAGACAAGGGGATGTGTGCGTGGGGCCTGGAAGGTGCCATGTCCGCCGACCCTACGCAACGCAGCGCTGTGGGCAGCGGTCCCTCCCCCTGCCACAAAGTGCGGCGACCTCCGACCTGCCACGGCACCCTGCGATGCTAATGAGCAAGGCTATGGTGAAACAAGCGCGTTAGCCGTAGCGGGTAACGCAATATGCGCATCTCAGGCTCTTGCCCCGTTCCTCAGATCGCCCCCTCTTGGGTGGGCCAAAGTTCGATGCCCGCTAGCACGCGGTGGTCACGAAGCTCTGCAGACACGCACGCCCACGCCCTCACCGCGGCGTTCTAATTACCCGACAAGCCCCGTCAATTTGGGCCAGAACAAGCCCATGCGACAACGCCTGCTCGCCCCCTCTTGGAAAACCTGGGCGCGATTCTAGCAAGCACGTGCCGTCACGCCGTGGTCATGAGGCTCTGGAGAGGTCCTGTCCGAAACCTCCCACACCTGTGCCCCCGAACCGGCCCGTGCAACACCCCCTGGTGGCCCCTCTCTTGGAGGCCCAGTTTCGATGCCTGCTAGCGCACGGTGCTTATGCGGGTGCGGAGATCGACGCGTCCACCTCATCAAATGGGTGATGGGCGATCCTGGATCGAGGCTTCACAGGCCCCCCCTCCCCTGGCCACCCCTGGTGGGATGGGTCACAGGGTTCCACAGTCCTCCCCTACCCCATGGAATGGGACGGGGCGCCCAGGCCGAAGCCGACGCGAACGACGACGACGACGAACCACAGAGGAGTGCGGGGGGTGCACCAGTACACTCCACCACGCCACGCCCACAGGGCCACCTCCGGGGGGGGGGGGAGGGGGGAACGATCCCATTCGCGAAGCCTTCGCAAAACTCACAGGCGTACCCATCCAGCGGGGGGGGGGGGGGCTCGATCTGATCTGCATTGGGGGGAGGGAGGGGTTGACCCTGGATCAGAACTACCTCAGAACTACCTCCCGTATTCATACCCGAACAGGCCCCTGCAACACCCACTGCTGGACTATTTGTTGGAGGCGCACGTGCGATGTCTGCTGACAGTCCATTTGAAAAGGCCAACCAATCAAGACCAGAAAAGGCCCGTGCAAAACCAAACGGTGGAACCCCCTTGGGAGACCCGGGCGCGATGCCTATGAGCACGCCCAGGTCATGCGGCTCCGAAGAGAGAAACATCCACTTCCCCAACCGGAAGCTCTACTTGAGACGCGCCCCCCCGAAGTGGTCAAGAAGGGGCCCGTGCAGCAACTGCTGGTGGCCCCCCCTTGGGGTACTGACGGCGATGCACATTACGACAAATGCCAGTAAGTCGTTCGAGCGGGTTCCCGTGGCACCCGTTAGACGGATGGCTCAAAAGGTGGGAAGCCGTTCCGCGTTGGCTGCGTTGATTTTCGCAAGCAAGCGCAACAGCGGGAAACCATCCAGACAACTCAACATGCCCAAACATTGCGAAATCATGCGGGGTCCCACGGATCGAAACCCACCTCTTCGATCCAATCACTAATGCAGCCACATTGCACTTCCTCAATGAGGAAGGTACCTGGCGCTGAGGCGAGACCACCATCCTGTATCAGGGATGCGGCCGGCACTGACTCGAGACAGGCTGACGGAGCGGCGAGAGTACCGTTCCCAGTACGGGACGTGGCCGGCACTGGAGCGAGAACACCACCCCCAGGGAAGGGCGCTGAGCCGAAACCACCATGCTCAGTCAGGGATGTGGCTGGCACCCCGGCGACATCGGCCGGGAGCCCCAGCCAGTCCTGAAGCCAGCACTCGCACAAGGGCAGCGGACCCGACCCGGGAGGGTGGCCAGCGCTCAAGCGCGACGGGGTGGCCTGCGTTCATCCGCGCAAACAATACAGTGTCTGCTAAACGGGTAAGTCGCTCCGAGGGCGGGAACGGAGAAGAGCAGGAAGAGGAGACCGCAATTCTACACTTTCGTCCGCAACCGTGCTCGTACGCCAAGAACTCAGTGGAGTGTCCTCAGGCCCCTTCAATCACCCTGTATTTGATACTGAATACTCGCTATTGCGCCCAGGCCCCAACTCATGGCTTTTCCAGAGCTTGCTTCTCGCATGACTTCTGGGGCGCGACGCGCGGTTTTCCCGATCCTCGGGAATGCAGTTTGGAATCTGCATTTCCAAAATACCCTGAGATAGCCCCTGAGGACCGTCCCCGGGCCGTCCTGGGGCCCCCTGGCAGGGAGGTGGTCTAAGAAAGCATATGTTAGCCAGTGCGAACACCCAACAATGAATTCTTGCACAGAAAAAAAAGTGAACATCTTGCGGGGGGAACCATGTTGTGCAAGCGACGCGATGTGGGCTGCGGTGCGAATGATGTTGTGTACGCCATGATGTATGACCAATGCAGTCGGTATGAGCTACGTGTGTTGTGTAAGCGATACGACCCACCTATTACACATGGCGCCCACGAACGCCCACGAGGCGGCACGGGCGCGACCTTGGCGAAAATTCAGCGGACCCACCTAGAGCACGGGGAGCCCACGAGAACCCACGGGGTGGCACGTGCGCGAACGTAGCATATCAGGCAACAGTCGACGCCGGCGCTGCCAACGTTGTGCCCGTTCAGCCCGCTCGCTCTCCTCGGCCATCTGCCTCGCGAGCTCCTTGGCGCCCAACAGCCCCTCTTCGCTCGCCTTGGCCGACGCCTGGGCCACGGCCTTGTCGTACGCTGCCTCGTCACCCTTAGAGACGACGGCCGCCGCCTCCGTGGCCGAGGGCTCCTCGGCCGTGACGCCGGCGAGGGCCTTCGCCTCGAGGGGGGAACACAGACCAGCAACATGAAATTCTTTCGCGGCGAATGGTCTTCCAGGAATCGTGTTTCCGCGCGCTGTTGTACAACCGGTGGTTCCCGCCAGGGTACGCGCCTAGACTTGAGTGCAACATGCGTGGTGGACAAACCTTGGCGGCGGGGTTGGCGAGCCAAGGCAAGGGCAAACAAAGGCGGCATGAAACAAAAGCCTTGGGAGTCTCGCGCGGATCTCCGGATGGGGCCTTTTGTGGCGCCTGGGGCTCCGGGGGAGGAGGAGGGAGGAGGAGGGGGAGGGGGAGGAGGAGGGGGGGAGGGGGAGAAGGAGGAGGAGGAGGAGGAGGAGGAGGAGGAGAAGCCTTGGGATCGGCGCCAACCCCCCTCCCTGGCGCGCGGGTCGAGCGTCAAAGGCGCCGTCAAAAAAGGGGGCGCGGAGCTCCGATAGTCTGCGAGGGCGCGCCCGCAGGGCCCGAGCAAAGGGGAGGGGGGGCTAGGCTTAAGCTACCCCCTCCCCCTCCCTTGAGCTGCCCTTGTTGGAAGCACCCCCCTCCCCTCCTTTTTTTTGCAAGGGGGGGGGGGGGCTTACAGCACCCCCCCCCCCCTTGGGCCCTCCCCGGAAGCTACCCCCCCCCCCTCCCCCCCTTTCCAAAGGGGGGGGGGGTGCTTAAGCCACCCCCCCCTCCCTTGGCGCCGCCCTGCTGGAAGCTACCTCCCCCCCTCCCCCCCTTTCGTGCAAAGGGGGAGGGGGGCTTGGAAGCTACCCACCCCCCACCCCCCTTTGGCCGCCCCGGAAGCTACCCCCCCCTACCCCCGGGGGGGTGCTTAAGCTACCGCCCCCCTCCCTTGGAGCCGCCCTGCTGGAAGCTCCCACCCCCCTCCCCCCCTTTGTGCCAAAGGGGGGGGGGGCTTGGAAGCTTGCCCCCCCCCCTTGCCCCCTTTGGCCGCCCAGCCCCCGGAGCCTCCGCCCTCCCTTTCGCCGACGATCCAAAATGAACAATCCACGATCGAGGATGGACGATCGACGATCAACGATCGACGATCGAAAATCCCAATCGAATCGCTTGCAATCGATTGCACTCCATTCCACTGCAATCCCCCTCCCCACCTCCCTCCGCTCCCTCCCCTCCCTCCACACCCTTCGTTCCATCTCCTCCCTCCCCTCCCTCTCCTCCCCTCCCTCCCTTCCGTCCTGTCCCTTCCCTGCAATCCAATCGATTGAATCGATTGCAATTCAACCGATTGCAATCCCATTGATTGCAATCCAATGGATTGCAATCGAATCGTTTGCAATCCGATGGATTGCAATCGATTGCAACGCAAATGTATCATTCAACTCGTCCCGTGCCAACGCCCGGGAACGAAAAATTACCCTGGCGACGTACCCAACCCCTGCGCAAACGCGGGGCGCAAATAGTTTAGGACACTTTATAAGGGGGGCGATGACGGAGCGAGGGTTACATATGTCTGCAGACGGAATTCGGGAGACTCGCAGGAAACTGGCTTCAGGACAAGGACTAGATAAAGCTGATTAGTTGCAATCCCTGAGCAACCCTAGCCACTTCGAAAGCGGGGATCTCAGATCGCAGCCCCCCAGGGATGGCGAGGTCTAATTTGGGTCCGCGCGTGGCGTCACTGTGCTGGGCCCCCCAGCAGGCCTCGAAAGTGGCGACAGTTTCACAGATCGCAGCCCCCCAGGGATGGCGAGGTCTAATTTGGGTCCGCGCGTGGCGTCACTGTGCTGGGCCCCCCAGCAGGCCTCGAAAGTGGCGACAGTTTCACAGATCGCAGCCCCCCAGGGATGGCGAGGTCTAATTTGGGTCCGCGCGTGGCGTCACTGTGCTGGGCCCCCCAGCAGGCCTCGAAAGTGGCGACAGTTTCACAGATCGCAGCCCCCCAAGGATGGCGAGGTCTAATTTGGGTCCGCCCGTGGCGTCACTGTGCCTGTGCTGGGCCCCCCCAGCAGGCCTCGAAAGATGGCGAGGTCTAATTTGGGTCCGCCCGTGGCATCACTGTGCTGGGCCCCCCAGCAGGCCTCGAGAGTGGCAACAGTTTCACAGATCGCAGCCCCCCAGGGATGGCGAGGTCTAATTTGGGTCCGCCCGTGGCGTCACTGTGCTGGGCCCCCCAGCAGGCCTCGAGAGTGGCGACAGTTTCACAGATCGCAGCCCCCCAGGGATGGCGAGGTCTAATTTGGGTCCGCCCGTGGCGTCACTGTGCTGGCCCCCCCAGCAGGCCTCGAACGTGGCGACAGTTTCACAGATCGCAGCCCCCCAGGGATGGCGAGGTCTAATTTGGATCTGCCCGTGGCGTCACTGTGCTGGGCCCCCCAGCAGGCCTCGAAAGTGGCGACAGTTTCACAGATCGCAGCCCCCCAGGGATGGCGAGGTCTAATTTGGATCCGCCGCGTGGCGTCACTGTGCTGGGCCCCCCAGCAGGCCTCGAAAGTGGCGACAGTTTCACAGATCGCAGCCCCCCAGGGATGGCGAGGTCTAATTTGGCCCGTGCGTCACTGTGTTGGGCCCCCAAGCAGGCCTCGAATGGCGACAGTTTCACAGATCGCAGCCCCCAGGGATGGCGAGGTCTAATTTGGTCCCGGTGGGTCACTGTGCCTGTGCTGGGCCCCCCCCAGCAAGGCCGCGAAAAGAGCGAGGTCTAATTGGGTCCGCCCGTGCTCACTGTGCTGGGCCCCCAGCAGGCCTCGAAAATGGCGACAGTTTCGCAGATCGCAGCCCACCAGGGATGGCGAGGTCTAATTTGAATCCACGCGTGGCGTCACTGTGCTGGGCCCCCCAGCAGGCCTCGAAAGTGGCGACAGTCTCACAGATCGCAGCCCCCCAGGGATGGCGAGGTCTAATTTGGGTCCGCCCGTGGCGTCACTGTGCTGGGCCCCCCAGCAGGCCTCGAAAGTGGCGACAGTTTCAGATCGCAGCCCCCCAGGGATGGCGAGGTCTAATTTGGGTCCGCCCGTGGGTACCCACTGTGCTGGGCCCCCCAGCAGGCCTCGAAAGTGGCGACAGTTTCACAGATCGCAGCCCCCCAGGGATGGCGAGGTCTAATTTGGTCCGCGCGTGGCGTCACTGTGCTGGGCCCCCCAGCAGGCCTCGAAAGTGGCGACAGTTTCACAGATCGCAGCCCCCCAGGGATGGCGAGGTCTAATTTGGGTCCGCCCGTGGCGTCACTGTGCTGGCCCCCCTAGCAAGCCTCGAAAGTGGCGACAGTTTCACAGATCGCAGCCCCCCGCAAGCAAGACAGGAGGAGGCAAGAGGGAGACGGGACTGGAAGGAGGAAGTGGAGACCACACTGCTCTATTCAAAACGAATACCCAACCAAGGAGGGTTGGGAGAAATACTATTCCCCCCGAAAGTTGCACGAAGTGTAATTCGGAAAACGCCAGCCCGTCGGGTTTGGCAGTGTTCGTGTAAGACGGCGGCCAGCTGAGGGAGGAGGAGGCGGCGGATGGGGGAGGCCGAGGGGGAGGGGCGGGAGGAGGAGGAGGAGGAGGAGGAGGAGGAGAGGAGGAGGGGAGGAGGAGGAGGAGGAGGAGGCGGAGGAGGAGGAGGAGGAGGAGGAGGAGAGGGGAGGAGGAGTAGGAGGAGGAGGAGGAGGAGGAGGAGGAGGAGGAGGAGGAGGCGGAGGAGGAGGAGGCGAGGAGGAGGGGGAAAACGGAGGAGGAGGATTACGAGGAGGCGGAGAGGAGGAGGAGGAGGAGGAGGAGGAAGAGGAAGAGGAAGAGGATGAGGATGAGGATGAGGATGATGATGATGACGAGGAGGTGATGATGATGGTGGTGATGATGATGATGGTGATGGTGCTGATGACTATGAGGAGGATGAGGAGGACGAGGAAGAGGAGGAGGCAACACGAAGAAGAGGAGGGAGAGGGGCGGGAATACATGGAAACGAAAGGGATGCGATGGCTCGGGGAGCTGGGCGGCCAAAGGGGGGAGGGGAGGGGGGGGCTTCAAGCCCCCCCCTCCCTTTTGCACCAAGGGGGCTTCCAAAGCCCCCCCCCCTTTCAAAGAGGGGGGGGGGGGCTCACCCCAGCTCCATTAAAAGGAGGGAGGGGGGGTAGCTTGGAAGCCACCCCCCCCTTTCCGGCCACGAAAAGGGAAGGGGGGGGTAGCTTCCGAAGCCCCCCCCCCCCTTTCAAAAGGGGGGGGTGGCTCACCCCGGCTCAATTAAAGGGAGGGAGAGGGGGGATAGCTTGGAAGCCCCCCCCCCTTCCGGAACACGAAACGGGGGGGAGGGTGGGGGGCTTCCGAAGCCCCCCCCCCCTTTAGCAAGGAAGGGGGGAGGGGGGTAGCTTCAAGCTGGGGCCCCCCTTTTAGTCTATCGGGCCCCACGCGCGCGCTCTATCGATAGTCTATGCCCTTGTTCCTCCTTCGACTCCCCCGACCCCATCCGAATGTCCAAACGCACCGGCTTTCAGAGCTGCGTCCAGCCGTGGTGACGAGACGAGCGGGCACCCCGAAGGGCAACTACCGTTCTCGCCCCACCCTCCCTCGGAGCCGGCATCTCTTCTTGTTTCTGCGAAAACAGAAAGGGCGAGGGAGGGGGGGGGGGCGGTGCACCTTGTCCACCGAAAAAGCCGCTATAGATCCCGACGGCTTCCCGTGAGGGTAGTTTTTCGTTCTGAATCCAACGTTGATGGCCCCTGGGCCCAACAACGGCCCCAGGAACTGTGTGCCGCTGTTGCAACTGTCGTATTTTCGCAATGGGAAGGGGGAAGGGGCAAAGGGATCATGCTGGATCATGTTGCGATGCCACCCACGTGATTTCAAATCACTCTCGCGCAACAACACCTGGGGTCGCATGGGAAACACGAGCCTCCGCAACCCCAGGGCGACAGCCGCAGGAGAAACACGAGCCTCCGCAGCAGCGCGAATATTTTCAGGAGCCCATGGGGCCGCAAGAGGAACGCGAGACTCCGCGCCCCCATGGCGACAGCCGCAGGAGGCAGGCGATCCTGCGCAACTGCACCGACCGACGTGCCGCAAGAGGGACGCGAGCCTCCGCGGCACTCAAAACTCGGGCGGCTCTCCGGGGGGGGGGGGGGCGAGCTTCCACAAGACCTCCTGCCGCTCGCCCCCCCCCCCCAGAGCCTGGAGCGTCTCGTTCAGCTCCTTAGCGGCGTTGCGAACTCGGCCTCCGCACGGGCCAGGGCGTCCATGGCCAGCTCCACACTCAGAGCCGCCTGGTTCAAGGAAGGCGTCGTACACGGCCATGACGTAACGCCATGGCCGTGTACTACACGGCCATGGCGTCCCCAGGGTCAGGCTCCGCGCCAGCCGCATGGCCGCCAGTCACCTCGGCCCTCGGCATCAGCTGCGCCGCCTTCGGTGGCTCCTGCTCCTTGTCCGCGCCCTTGCCCTCAAGCTCCGCGGCGAAAGTGGGCACCATCACTGCCTTCTGCAGCACCCTCTCCTTCACGGCCACCACCTTGAGGGAGTGGGCGTCCGTTTCCGCTAGGCTCTCCTGCTCCGTGAGCCCGGCGCCCGTGTTGCCAGCATCGGAGCTGGCGAGGAGGGAGCGCACCTCCCTCGCCAATCCGACATCAGGATGCCCTTTGGCATTGCGAAGCTTGCTCAGCCTCCCGATGCGGGGGGCAAGCTTCGGCACTCCACGCTCGCGCAAGATGCACTAGGCATCCTGGACCGAAACGGGGCCCGTGAGGTCCATCGCGTCCTTGACCGCATCGGGGACCACCTCGAACTGCACCAACGCCGTCCGCACATGCTGCCGATGCGCCTGCCGCCAAGCCCTGGGCGGCCCCGCGCGCTGCAGCCTCCACCAGTGCGGCGGTGGCCTCGGTGCCACTCTGGCCACCCTGCCCGGCGAATGGTGCCAAGGCCGCGCCAAATGCCGCCTGGGCGATCGTAAGCGCCGCCATCCTCTCCAAGAGGCCATCCGTCCCAATGGCACGAGGGGAAAGGGCTGCGCGAGCGGGCCGCCGCGACCAGCTCGGCGCACACCGAGCCTGAACCAAAAATGGCTGCGGAGGAGGGGGCAGAGCGAGGGAGGGAGGCCTCTCCCTCTGCGGAGGCCTCTCTTCTTGCTTCTTCGAAAACAGAGGGGGCGAGGGAGGGGAGGGAGGGGCGCACCTCGTCCACCGAAGAGTCCCCATAGATCCCGACGGCTTCCCTGGGAGCAAGTCTTCATCATGAATCCGATGCTGATGGTCCCGGGGCCCAACGACGGACCCCGGGGACAGAAATCCGGGAACAATGCGCCGCTGCTGTGCCACTGTCACTTCTTCGCAAGGGGAGTGGCCGAGGGAGGGCGGGAGAGGAGGGGAGGGAGGGGCGCACCTCGTCCACCGAGGCAACGCCGGACCCCTCCGCGGTGCCTACCACCTCGGCCGTGGCGGTGTGCTCGGCCGTCGCCGTGTGCTCGCCGACGGTGTGCGAAGCGGAGGCGGTGTGCGAGGCGCTCTCGGTGACCGTGACCTTCACCGTCGCCTGCGCCTCGCCCGAGAGGCCGGCGCCCGAGATGCACTCCTGGAGGAGCAGCACGCTGCTGCGCTCCGAACGAGCCCCACCGAAACCTTCGTCGTTTGCCCCCAGCAGTGCGCGTGGCTGATCGAACGACGCTTGCAACAGCACGGCAGAGGAACCGAAGTTGCGCAAACCATGGTGGAGAGAACAGGGTTGCCGAATCTTATCTCCGGTGATCTGTGATGTGCCAGCATGTCACTATAATTTATCAGGTTGTTTTGAAGACGCGAACACGATCTAGAGATCTTATGGTATGGTGTGTGTAGGTCTACTCTCTGCTGGTATACCATTGGATATTCTAGCTGTGGTATGGTAATTCGGCCATTGTCAACTCGCTGCGTAGGTTATCTGCATGGGCGTTGCCTTCCCTTGTACTATAATGCACTACGTACGTTACAACCTATACTGATATGCCCCCCGTTTAGGCTGTATTGTCATATGCGCCACTGCAGTGTGTTGCATGGTATAATCTGGCATCTCACTTCGCATACCCGAGCATTACGATAATCTGTAACATGGCAAGTCATGGTATCTGTGCGGCTGGTCGATTCTGCTGTGCTAAAGTGTGGAACAACTGCTTATGGTCAATGATGGTTTACACACCATTCTGAGCTAACGTTGAATACTATCAAATGCCGTGGTATGGCCTATTCTGTCCCACTATGTTATGACACATTCTGTCCTATTCACTTCTATGTGTAGTCTGATCTGGTACGTACAATATTCTATACGGTGCCATACAACTATATTGATATGTGAGCTGTCATGGTATAAATTGCCATCTTCTGTTCAATTGCATTATCGTTTGATCGGGTATCCGCCACCGTGCCTCTGGGCACGGAGTGGGCGTGTCCTCAGTGTCGCATGTGTGTTTTTCTGTTTCGGGCGCCCGAGAATGTCTCAGGACGGACAGAAAAGGCCTCAGGAGGCCCCCAAAACGGTCCAAGAGTCGCCGAACGATCGTTCGCCCAGGGTGGCCCCCAGACGGCCTCAGAGGCCTCAAAGACGCCTCCCAAGAGGGCCCCAAGAGGCCAAACTCATTGATGTTCCAAAGGTTTTTGAAAGATTTTGGCGTTCTCGACTTCTCGGCGTCCCGACGCTCCCAGACGGCCCTAGACGCCCCCAAGACCGCCCCAAGACGGCTCAAGAGGCTTCCAAGAGAGCCGCAAAACGGCCCAAGAGGGCCCCAAGACGGCCCAAGTGGCACCCAAAACGGCCCCCAGAGAGCCCAAAAAGAGCCGCCAAAGGGGCCCCAGAGGGTGAACACGAACCGAAAATCCAAGCCCTCTGCCACAAAACGCCCCCAGTAGGCCCCAAGAGGCTCCCAGTTGGCCCCAAGAGGCACCAAAGAGGCCCCCAAAAAGCGTCCGAACTGCCTCCAAGCGCTGACGCCGGCGCCGGCAGCGGCCAGCAGCGCCGACGGGCGACCATTACCAGAGAGGGCCCAGAGGCCGCTGCAGAGGGAAGACACAAATAGCCACATCGAGCCCTTGCCCCCCAGAAGCAACCGAACGGCCCTTGGGAAGGTCCACGAGGCTTCACACATGCTCCTCAGACGCCCTCCAGACCCTTCTGACGAAACCTCAAGAGGCATCCATTGGAACTCTGACCCAAAGCCAAAACACGGTGGCGGCAAGAGCCGAAGGCCGCACCACCACCACCACCACAAACCACAACACCACCATCACCACCACAACCACCAGCACCACCACCACCACCGCCACAACCCACCACCACCACAACCACCAGCATCAGCACCAACCCACCACCACCACAACCACCACCATCACCACAAACCACTACACAACCACCACCAAAAAAACCACCACCACCAACACCACTACAACCCACCACAACCCACCACCACCACCACCACCAACCGGAAACCACAACCACTACAACCCACTACAACCCACTACAACCCCACCACAACCACCACCATTACCAGCACCATCATCACCAACGCCACCACCACAACCATCACCACAACCCACCACCACCACCACCAACCACCACACCACCACCACCACCACAACCACCACCACTACCACCACCACCACCGCCACCCACCACCCACCACCCACCACCAGCACCGCCACCAGAAGCACCAAACCACGCCACCACAACCACCTCCACCACCAATACAAACACCACCACCACCTCAACCCACCACAACCAACACCAAACAACCACACAACCACCACCACCACAGGCACCACCACCGCTACAACAACACACCCACACCACCACCACCACCATTACAACAACCCACCACCACCACCACAATCTACCACACCACCACGCCACCACCGCCACAACCACCACCACCACCACACCCCACCACATCACCACAACCCACCACACCACCACCACACCACCACCACCAGCACCACCGCCGCCACAACCCACCACCACCAGCACCACCTCCACAAACCACCAGCACCACCAACACCACCACCAACACCACCACAAACCACCACACCACAACCACCATCACCACCGTCACCAACCACCACCACCACAACCCACCATCACACCACCACCAAACCACAAACCACCAACACCACCATCACCACCACCAACTACCACCACAACCACGACCACCACGACAAACCAACACACCACCACCACCACCTCAAACCACAACCACCGCCACCACCACCACCACAAACCACCACCAACACTACAACCATCACGCAACCACCACAAACCATCACAAACCACCACACCAACTCACCTCCACGACCCCCACCACCACAATCAGTACCACCCACCACCACAACCCCCACCACAACAAACCACCACCACAACCACAACCACCACCACCGCCACCACCACCACCACAACCCACCACCACCACCGCAACCACTACCATCACCACAACCACAACGACTGACCACCACACCACCACACCACCACCACACGCCACAATTCCCATCACCCCTACCACACGAAACCATCGCACCATCACCACCACCGCCACCTCCACGACCACCACCACTGCAACGTGCCATCACAACCACCACCACAACCACCACCACAACCACCATCGCCAGCACCACCAACCACCACGCCACCACCACTACCGCCACCACCACCATCACCACCCACCACCACCACCACCACCACCACCACCACCACAACCACTACCATCACCGCAACCACCATGACAGACCACCACTCCACCACCGCCACCACCACCACCACCGCCACCACCGCCACCCACAACCGCCACAATTACAATCACCATCACCAGAAACCACCGCACCACCACCACCACCGCCACCACCACGACCACCACCACCATAACGTGCCACCGCAACCACCACCGCCACCACCAACCACCACGCCACCACCACCGCCGCCACCGCCACCACCGCTACAACCACCACCACCATCACCACAGCCCACCACTACCACCCCACCCCAGAGAGGCCACAAGAGACGCCCAAGAGGCGCTCACGAGGCCCCACAAATGCCCTCCGACGAGACCCCGAGAGACATCCATTAGGACTCTGACCTAAAACCAAGGCACGGTGGCGGAACGTCGTCGTCGTCGTCATCGTCGTCGCCGTCGTCGGCGCCGGCTCAGAAAATGAAGTCGTCGCCCCCGCCGCCGCCGCCAGCCGCCGCCGACGCAGGCGCCGGCCCGAGGTAAGGGAGAAAGGAAAAGTAGGGGAGGGGGGGGGTTGAACTCCCCCCCTCCATCACGGGAAGGGGGGGAGGGGGTTCCAACCCCCACCCCCGGCGCCAGCGCCGGCGCTGGCGTTGGCGGCGGCCAGCAGCGCCGACGGCGGGGACGCAGCGACGATTGCCAGAGATGGCACAGAGGCCGCAGAGGGAACACGCAAATTGCCATATCGAGCCCTCACCCGCCAGAAGCCACCGAGGCCTTTAGGAAGGTCCACGAGGCTTCACACATGCTCCTCAGACGCCCCCGAGACCCTTCTGACGAAACCTCAAAAGGCATCCATTGGAACACTGACCCAAAGCCCAAAAACGATGGCGGAAAGAGCCGAAGGCCGCACCACCACCACCACCACCACCACAAACCACAAGACCACCACCACCACAACCACCAGCACCACCACCACCACAACCGCCACAACCCACCACCACCACAACCATCACCACAAACCGCTACACAACCACCACCAAAAACGCCACCACCACCAGCGCCACCACAACCCACAACAACCTACCACAACCACCACCCCCACCAAAAACCACCACACCATTACCAGTACCATCACCACCACCGTCACCACCACAACCATCACCACAACCCACCACCACAACAAACAACCACCACCACCACTACCACCACAACCACCACCACTACCACCACCACCACCACCCACCACACACCACCCACCATCAGCACCGCTACCAGCAGCACCACCACCAACACACCACCACCACCACCGCCACCACCAATACCACCACCACCAACCACCACCACCACCACCACCACCACCACATACCACAACACGACCACCACCACAACCACCAGCACCACCAGCACCACCAGCACCACAAACCAACCCCACCACAACCACCACCATCACCACAAAACATTACACAACCACCACCTAATAAAACGCCACCACCACCATGACCACCACAACCCGCCACAACCCACCACAACAACCACAAACCACCACCACCACAACCACCACCACACCATTACCAGCACCATCACCACCACCGCCACCACCACAACCATCACCACAATCCACCAACACCACCACCGCCACAAACCACCACACCATCAACTACCGAAACCAACACCGCTACCACCACCACCACCCACCACCCACCACCTACCACCAGCACCGCTACCAGCAGCACCACCTCCATCACAAATCACCACACCACCACAAATACCACCACCACCACCACCTCAACCCACCACCCTCACCAAGCCACCGCACAACCACTACCACCACAGCCACCACCACCACAACAACTCACCACCACCACCACCACCACATTCACCCACCACCACGACCACCACCACCACCACAATCTACCACACCAACACGCCACCACCGCCACCACGACCACCACCACAACAACCCACCGCCAACACCACCACAAACCACCACACCACCACAACCACCACCACCACCAACACCAACACCACACGCACTAACCTCGGCAAACAACCGCCACCACCACCACCGCCACCAACACCACCACAAACCACCACACCACAACCACCACCACCACCGGCACCACCACCACCACCACCACAACAACCCAACACTCACCGCCACAAACCACCACCACACCACCACCACCACCACCCACCAGCACAACCACTACCACCACAACGAACCACCGCCACCACCACCACAAACCACCACAAACCACCACACCACCACCACGACCACCATCACAACCAGCAGCACCACCAAGCACCACAACCACCACCACCACAACAAACCACCACCACAACCACCACAACCACCACCACTGCCACCACCACCACCACAACCCACCACCACCACCAACACAAGAACTACCACCACCACATCCGCCACGACAGACCACCACACCATTACCGCCACCACCACCACCACCTTACCCCACTACCACCACCACCACCACCACAACTACCATCACCACCACCACCACTAGAAACCACCGCAACACCACTACCACAGCCACCACCACCACCACCACAACGTGCCACTACAACCACCACAACAACCACCACCACAAACCACAACGCCACCACCACCACCACCGCCACCACCACCGCCGCCACAACCACCACCACCATCACCATCACCACAGCCCAACACCACCACCACTTCAAAGAGACCCCCAGAGACGCCCAAGAGGCGCCCAGGAGGCCCCACAAATGCCCTCCGACGAAACCCCGAGAGGCATCCATTAGGACTCTGACCCAAAACCAAGGCACGGTGGCGGAGCGGTCCTCGTCGACGCTCCCCGCCGCCGCCGCCCGCCGCCGCAGGCGCCGGCGCCAGCCCAAAAAAGGAAGTCGTCGCCCCCGCCGCCGCAGCCAGCCGCCGCCGACGCAGGCGCCGGCCCAGAAAAGGAAGTCGTCGCCCCCGCCGCCGCCGCCAATCGCCGCCGTCGCAGGCGCCGGCCCGAGGAAAGGGAGAGAGGAAAAATAGGAGATGGGGGGGGTCCAGTTCCAAACCGCCCCCCCCCTCCAAGCGACCACAGAACGCGCTCTTTCAAATCTAGACTCCGTGGCCACCAGGATGCCCAAGATACCATCTAAGCTGGTTTGAGCTGGGATTTAACACGCCAGAGAATCCTCGAAGACGCCCCAAGATGGCCTCAAGACTGTCCAAGACGCCTCCAAGACGCCTTCAGATGGCTCCAAGACGACCCTCGAGAGATCCCCAGGAAGCAAGAGTCGTCAAAATCCAATAAGACAACGTATATTTGAGCATCTTCGTCTTGATAGTCTTAACAGTATTCAAAAATGCTCAAGAGGCTCCCAAGATCGCTTCAAGACGGTCCAGGAAGCCCCCAAGAGGGCCTCAAGACGGCCGAAGAGGGACCGAAAACGGCCCAACGGGCGCCCAAGATGGCCCCAGAGCGCCCCACCAAGGCGCTCAGAGGGGCCCAAGAGATGCACCTCTAACTGACATTCCGAGCCCTCCGCCCAAAAAGGACCCCCGAGACCGCCAGCAGGCGACCGTGAAACTCCCAATACGCCCGCAGAGGCTCCGAAAAGAGGCCCAAACGAGGCCCGCAGAAGGTTCCCAGGAGGTCCCAGGCGGCCTCACCCGTGGACTTCATCCCTCTACTTGGGGTCGGCGGAATGGCGCAAACCTCTTGAAACATGGATCCCATCAGGATCTACTCTCGGCTTTTCGATCCGTACATCATATTCTGGCGTTATCTGATATCTGATGCTAGAAAGTATTATGATCCGCTGCGATATGTTATGTTATGTTCCGAAGCGGTAGTCCTGGTTTGTAAGGATAGCTGCGTGAAGTCGAAACGAGAGGCGAGCGCGCGGTTCCGCCGAATGCAGGGCCCTTTTGGGCCTGCGTGGGGGTCATGTTCCCTTCCATCGCATTTGGTATTTTAGCTTGTGATGATGCTGGCAGATCAAGCATCATACAGACACGATGTGTGTGCGTGGTTTGCCTGATAATATGACTCCTGCTATGTGATGATATGTCCCGCTAGATCTGTTATGTTATATTATGATCTATCAACACGTAGTACGGCACAGTCATCTCTTAGATTCGATGCTTTTACAATGCAGTGCAATGTCAGGTGGTATGGTGTGGTGGATTTTCCTGGGAGACGCGGTGTGCAGGGCGGGCGGGTCGGGAGCCCTGTTCTTAAGACCTGACAGCTCCAACCTGTCGGGTGGGAGAAACACACCGAGCACAAATTTCAGGGGCTCCACGCGGACTTCTCGGATCGGCGGTTGGCCTCCCCTGGCAGCGCCTCCGACGCCGCCCCTGGCGCGCTCCGCGCGCCAGGGACGGGGGGCGTCCAGCGCCGGCCCGAGAAAACCGCGGAACTCTGAGCATTTCATTATGACTATGCCATCTGATCTTCCCCGAGTTCCTCCTGGTGCCGCTTCGCGCCCACCTTGCAGTGGTCCTCGGCGGTGCACTTCTGGCACGACGCCGGGTGCGAGTTCGCGGTGCCAAGGAACTTGCCGTAGGAGTGGTACAGGTCCTCGGTCGGCGGGTGCACCTTCTTGCAGGCCAGGCCGTCCTGGCAGACGCGATGGTGGTGCTCTGCAGGGAAGAAGCCGCACTCGTAGCCCCAGCCTCCCTGCTGGACGCACTGCTCGATCCGCCAGTGCCAGAAGAAGCCCTCGGGGCACATGCAGCCGTCCTTCATCGTCTTGGAGATAGACTGCCTCTCTACTACCTCGGAACGGCCGCAATCAAGACGGCCGCCAACGGAACCCCGAGACGCCCTCAGAGAGCCCCCCGGAGCAACCCAAGAATGGTGGCAGGACAGGAATGATGGCAAGATGGGCCGCCAGCCATCTCGACCAAATTCACTGAACCCCAACATCGATTTTGCTGAGTGGTTCTTGACCCTCCTTCGCCTCCTCCCGAGGTTGCCCATGGACACCCTGACGGCCCCTCGCCGCGAAAGCGATGACGCGATCAAACAAAAATCCAGTCTTGCGGACAAGCCCAAACCTGCCTGTTTGCTTCTGAGACTCTGGAGAAGGAGGAACAACAGCAGCATGAGAAGGACGACGACGACGATGACGACGACGACGACGGACGACGACGACGGACGACGGCGAGGACACTGATCGGCAGCGCGCCCAGGTGAAGACCGACGGGGTCGGCCTTCTCAGACGGCGGCGGGGCTTCTCAGAGCCCTCTGCCTTCTGAGAAACCGTCCGTGTCTTCGGCGAAGGCCTAGAACGCTTCTCAGAAGGACAGGCGCCCTCTGAGCGTTCTGGGAAAGCCCGCCCCCTTGCCTGCCCCCCTGGGCGCGGGCCGCCGAGCTGAAGGAGAGCGGCAGAACGAGCAAGGGGACAGGGGAACCCCCTGGCATGGCAGAAGGAGCACAGACCTCGACGTTCACGCCCGTGCCCCGGGAGGCTGTCGTGGCGTTGCCGACGTGGGCCAGGCCGCCGCTGCTCTTGGTGGCCACCAGGCCGGAGTTGAGGCGAGTCCCCTCCGACCTGGGAAGCCAGCCATCCCTCTTCTCCTGCTGCTCCGCCTCCTGCTCCTCTTCATCCTTCTCCGTCCTCCTGCTCCGTCCGCCGCCCCTCTCCCTCCCCCAACCGCCTCCTCCGCCACCCCCCGCCGTTCCCCCCCTCCCCAGGCGGGGGAGGGGGGGAGGCACGGCCAGCTCCCTTCCAGACTCCAGGGAGTGGCGGCACCCCCCCCCCCTTCGGCGGCAACTCATGTCGGCTCTTGCGAGTCGACGCGGCCCGACGCTACATCGGCGCTGCCTCCTCGACTCCCAGACGCTAGTCGACGCTAGTCGACGCTAAAGACGGAACTCAGAGGGTAGACCAGGCTCAAGGCTGAACCTAGACGGCGGTTTTCGTTTTCGGTTTGCTTTCGTTGTCCCTCGTTTTGTTTTCAATCCACTTCTACCGCAAAACGAAATCGAAACGGAAACGGCCCACGAAATCGCCAAAACACCGTTTAGGTCCAGCCTTGTCCCATGATTTGCTGCCAAACCTCCCCATAGTTCCAGGCCAAAAGAGGGCACAGGCCGCTGTCACCAAGGAAGGACCTGGCCAGCAGCCACGCCAGCAGCGCCCCCAGGAAGACGCGGCGCGGCATCGCCTCGCAACTTCCTGGACTCCCTGCAGTGGGCCCGAGTCAGCCAGGGCCGCCAGAAGCCGCAATGATGGTCGAGATTCGGCCTCCTCATCCTCTTCACTCATTCTTATCCTCCGCCTCCTCCTTCTCATCGCCTTCCTCTTTCCTGTCCCTATCCATATCCTCCCCATAGCTCCCTCTCCTGAGCTGGACAGGTGTCATCCTATCGCTCCGCTCTCTTGCTCCCCACCCCCTTCACGCTCCTCTTCGTTCTACCAGAAACACCTGTACGTACCCAACCCATTGCCAACGCACTCAACCCATGAATGACCATTGGCAACCTCCACGGGGCAACGTGCACAAGGAATGCGAACTCATGTACAATGTACGTGGTGGCCATGTGCAGTCGTATGACCCATGAAACTGATACGAGGCGAAAGCAGCAGCGCCCAGCAGCAGAGTGGCGACAGCTGCGCGCTCGGCAACACCCCAGGGAAGGCGAGGTCTGGTTGTACACATCTGTTGTGGTAACTCATGGGAGCCTCCCATACCATATTGCTGGCTCTTGCGAAACGACGCTGGCCGACGCTGGTCGATGCTGAAATTATGAAAATCGAACGGCAGGTCGGCGCTATCTTCTCGACTACGAGACGCTAGCGCAAGCTAGCGCAGTCGGAAGGCGGCATTGCGAGGACATACGAGACTTTAATGGCTTGCCACCGATCACAACTGCGCTGGACCCCCAAAGGGGCGCAGCAAGGTGGCGACAGCTGCGTGCCTGGCAACGCCAAGAGCAGGCGAGGTCTAGCGCGAGAAGTCACTCCGCTGGCTTCGCCCCTTGGCCTTGGGCGAGACGGCGCTCCGAAGAGTTCACGGCGATCGGGGGGGCCTTCCGAGAGGGCCAGAGGCTTCCAGGAATGCTTTCAGAGGCCGCGATGGGAACGGCCCCCCCGCGTCCGGTGTTTCCAGGAGTGGCTCTTCGAAGTCGTGAGGGCCTCTTGCAGGCGGGGCGCCTTCATAGGAGAAGAAAAACCTACATCAACATACACACGTTCGAAAGTCCGCCTAAATATCTTGGATCTGCGCTGACCCCCCTGCTTGCGCGCGGAGCGCTCCAAGGGCGGCGCCGGAGGCGACAGTCGCGCGAACAGCAGCGCGCAGGGAAGGCATGGTCTCGATGGACCCGCGTGGGACACAATTGCGGTGGACCCACAAGGGACCAGACAGGTCAGGACAGCCCTGATGGGAACAGGCCAAACGTTACTGGCGGGGGTGGGGCCCACCAGGGAGTGCGGAGTCCGCGGGGGCCCACGCCGGGAGCCCGCTCATCCTCATCCTCATCCTCATCCTCATCCTCATCCTCATCCTCATCCTCATCCTCATCCTCATCCTCATCATCATCATCATCATCATCATCATCATCCACCTCCTCCTCTTCCTGCGATCCTCGCGGTCTGGCGACTGCGCCCGCCCCACTCTGAGCTCCTCCGCGACCTTCAGGAACCTCCTCCTCCTTCATCTCCTCCTCCTCCTCCTCCTCCTCCTCCTCCTCCTCCTCCTCCTCCTCCTCCTCCTACTCCTCCTCCTCCTCCGTCCTCTGCCCTCATCCTCCTCATCCTCCTCCTTCTCCTCCCATCCCCTCCCTCCCCCCTCCTCCACCTCCTCCTCCTCCTCATCATCCCCATCTCTTCTTCCCCCCCACTCGCCCAGGGCGCCGAACCTCTCCGCATCCCTGCAGCCCGCGCCGCCCCGAGCCTGGCGGCTCCTACGTTCGCTCCTGAGGTGGCTGCCGCGGCCCTGTGGCTGCGCGCGCGCGGGGGCCGATGCGGCTGCGGAGAAGGGCGGGCCGCCCAGGTGCAGACAGGGCAGGAGCGGTCAGCATCCCATCGGGCAGTCGCATCGGATCGGAATGCGTGCTGGACCGGGCCGCACCAGGGCACGGAGTTGGAATCGAGTCGGATCGGCCGCACCAAGATGGGCGGCAACGCACGTGCAAAAACGTCGGGCCGCAGCGGGCCGCATCGGCATGCCCGGTTCGGATGGGCTCGAGCCGGCCATAATCGGTATCGAATCGGATGGATCGGATCGGAATGAACCCTGGACGCGAATACGGCAAGATCGTGCGACAACGAAAGTCGAGAGAGGAGCAGAATTAGTGTTGGAAGTCGGCCAGGCTTGCATCTCGAACCACTCTGGGCGAATGAAGGGGGGGGGGAGGGGGAGTGGATGGAGGGGGCGACAAGGAAGAGGGGGTTCGCGTCCCTCCCCTCACTCTCTCGCACCGCTCTTCACCATTTCCTCTTCACGTTCCCACTTACCTGAGCTGCGTTTCAGGACATACTTCGGCACCCCATCCCGCTGCCAACAGGGTGACCCCAACACTCCCCGTCTGAACAAACGAGCAGCGGGAGTAGAGGTGGAAGGAAAGAGGGAGGGAGAGAGGACGGAGGAAGAAAAAGGATAATAACGAAGGGAGGAGGGGGAGGAGTGAGAGACGGAGTGAGCACGAATCTGGGCGTCGTTAGATTGGGCAAGACGGGTGGAGCGAGGGAAGAGGAAAAAATAATGAAGGAGGAACAGGAGTGGCGGTAGGACGGGAAGGAGACGCAACAAGAGCAGGCACTACAGAAGGACCAGGAGGAGCAAGAGGAGTGCAGGAGGAGCAGGACCAAGACCAGGAGGACCAGGAGGACCAGGGGAAGACCGATGTGGAACGTGGCACATCTACCACCATTGAGGATAGCAAGCTCGCCTTCCAGAATACCCGCTCCACCTCTTCAAGGGACTCGGCTAGAGAGAGAGAGAGTGGGAGTGGCCAGGAGGTCCAGAGCAAGAGGAAGTGAATATGACGGGAGCGAGGGGAAAAGGAGAGGCGAGGGGAGAGGACGCGAAGGGGACAGGGAAGGCTGATGGGTGGATGCAGGGAGAGAACGAGAGAGGTAGAGAGAGAGAGAGAGAGAGAGATACCAGCCAAAACACGAAATATCCATACATGGAAGAGAGAGAGAGAGAGAGAGAGAGGAAACCAATAACCGAAAAAACGTGTTAGTAAACGGATAAGGAGCTGGCCGACTGGTTTGAAGTGGAGGGCAAGCAGAAGGGGGCGGGGAGGGAGTGGAGAGAAAAAGAGATGCGGATTCCAACCTGCTCCTTCCCCCCTCTGGGTAGATGCTCATCCCATGGCCTACCCTCCACTGGGTCCAGAGGGGGGCTCTGCGAATCGCTCGAGCCCAAGAGGGCCCCAGATAACACAACATGGCCTCCAACATCGCACAAGTTAGCCCAGTATGGCTAGACATAGCCTCAACAATTCCTCGAACAGGCTAACAGACCGCCCCTGGACGACCTCACGAGGACGCCCCCCGAGAGGGCAACACCTGGGCCTGCCATCGAACGCGGTTCCGGATGGACCGACGAGGCAAGGATGCACGGGCGCCCTGGGGACAGGCTACCCATCCTGATCAGAGGCGCCCTTGGGAAAGGCTACCCTTGGGAAAGGCTACCCTTGGGAAGGGCACCCTTGGAAAGGCACCCTTGGGAAAGGCTGCCCTTGGGAAGGGCCACCCCTGGGACAAGGCACCCTCGTGTTGGCTCCTTGGGAAGCAAGGCGGGCGTGGCCCGCCGGCGCTCCCCGGCGCGCGGGCGGGCCTTGTCCTTGCCCAGCTTGTCCTCCAGGAAGTGGGACGCCTCCTTCTTGAGCGAGGCGTCCGCCTCGCGGGGAGCGCGCGGGCAGCGGGGCCCGCCCGCGGGGGCGGCGCGGGAGGGGAGGGGGAGGGGGGGCGGTCTCCCGTGGACTCGCGACGGCTTCCGAGCGAGGATCCCAGGATCGAGCTCGAGGGGGACTCGTTTCCCTCCGGAGGCAGTGGGCTGTAACGCTGGAGGCCTCCCGGATGGGGGTCGGAGCATCTGTGGTCGGAGGATCGCGCCGCCTCGCGAATACATCGCCGTTGCATCGGCGACGCATTCGCGGCACATCGGCGGTACATCAGCGACGTTGGCGATGCATCGACGCCGTCGGCGTCGAGAAAACCGGGCTCCACATCGAGCCGCATCGCCGATGCATCGGCGATGCGGCGCGATCCTCTGACCACATCTACCTCGACCTTTCCTGGGATGCCTAGAATACGAGGCCACATGCAAACACTCCCCACAATTTCTAAGGAAGGGTTCACGTCGCTCGAGAGGTCCCGAACGAAGTGAACCCCGCCTGCCTCCTTAGAAATCGTAGGGTGGTGGAGTAGGGTTCGCATGTGGCCTCCTATCGGATCCCAGGATCGAGATTGTGATGCGTTTGGTGTCCTCTCCAGGTTGTGGACTGCAAAACTGTGGAGTGTGCCTGGGCCTCCGGGAGCCGCGCTCGAGGGTCACGGCTGGGTTCCCCTCGAACTCCCCGCCAGGCCGCCCCCCGGAGAGGTCCGGGGATAGGCTGCCGACCCCTGCCGCAGAAGGGTGGAGTGGAGGAGGAGGAGGAGAGTGAGCATGGGAGGAGGAGAAAGGGAGGAGAGAGGATGAGAGAGGAGGAGGAGGAGGAGGAGGAGGAGGAGGAGGAGGAGGAGGAGTAGGAGGAGGAGGAGGAGGAGGAGAGGAGGAGGAGGAGGAGGAGGAAGGAGGAGGAGGAGGAGGAGGAGGAGGAGGAGGAGGAGAGTGAGTGAGTGAGTGAGTGAGGGAGGAGAGAGAGGGATGAGGAGAGGTGAGGAATGGAGGAGGGGAGGAGGAGAGAGGGAGGAGACCCTGGGGTGGGGTGGGGGGAAGGAGGAGAGAGGAGAGAGGGCTGGGGGAGGGAGGGGAGAAGGGGAACGGAGCACAAAGGGGAAAATGGGGATGGAAGAAAGGGGTGTCGGATACGAGAGGGGGGGAGCGAAGGAGGAAAGGGACGGGATGGGAGGAGGGAGAAGAAAGGACTGAGTGGGGAGAGGATGGGAGAGGCGAGGGAGGATTGCTGAAGGCCGACGATGAAGCGGAAAGGGATGGCACAGAAGAGAAGTGCGGTGGCGAGTGCGGGACGAGGGGAAAATATGATCATGCATGAGGCACGGAGGGAGAC